CTGGGGTCTCAGCTGAGTGACACTGGACAAGAGGTTCAAATTTTCATAGTCTCAGTTTTCTTCTCTATAAAATGAGGCAAGAAGGTGTTATGAGGAGGATTCATTGGAATAAAGCATATAACACACTTAGCTCCCACACAGCAGCTATTTGATCCACGTCTTTCCTCTTTCATCTTACTTGTCTCCCCTTTGTGCTTTCTAATATATGACTAGAATTTAGAACTGCTATGTGATTGCCCTACGAGGTCTACTTTCTTCTTAACAAGCATTGGATTGTGGTTACCATGGTGGTTATAATTTCTTTTTCTCCAGGGTGCGTAGGTTTAAGAATTGCAGAAAAGGCCTCTTTAGAGCAAGTTGAACTGGGACTTCCAACCAGTGAATTCTGGTTCTAGCCTCTGCTGAGAATTTGCATTCCCACCCCAGATATACTGAATCAGAGTCAACATTTTGACAAGATCCCCAGGTGATTCTTAATGTGTACCTAAAAAAATATCTGAGGACTATAAGAAGCATCCCTGTATTCTTATAGATAGCCCTGTGTTAAAAACGCTAAAGAAAATTTCCCTCCCACACATCAGGGGGATCAGGAACTGTTTTCCTTTCTGACACAATTCCAAGTCATTGTATCCAGCTGTCAGAATGCTACCTCCTACCTTCTATCCCTGCATCCCTGCTCCCTACCTAACATAACCTTTAATGAGAATCACCTGGAGTGTTGACCATCCCTCCCTCCCTCATCCTTCCTGGCTACCTTCCACAGGCAGAGATGGTCCCTATGATCCATCAATGAAACAATGGCTTTTTCTGTGGATGCTCCTGTGTGCACAGAAAGCATCCACTTTCAAATGCTGTCTCCCTGGTGACCAGTCATCCACATCCATTCCATATTTGTACAAAAGGAGATCTATCATTCACAGTTATAAAATAGACCTGTGGTGTAGTATCACTGTTATTTAAATATAAGTTCTGGGAGTGGGGGTGGTGGTTTTAAGTACAATAGTAGGAGTTGGTCTAATACTCCAGCAGCCAAACCTTCAATTGTCATCTTAGGGAAAACTGATCCTCAACCACATAATAAGTAAGGTGCAAAGAACAAGGACATTTGGTCACTACATATAGGAAAGCTGGGTGCTTTGGGAGAAAATAAGTTTGAACTTACCTATGAGGTACCTAATAAAGTTTTAACTAGCTATTGAAAGGTGCAATACAGTTCTCCAAATTTTTTTCTAAACCACAGGACCAGCAAAGCATTGCCTACATCCAAGGTATATTAGAAAGTGTGCGATTGCAAGTGATCGCATCTCAACTTAAACTTGAACAAAGGAAATATTTTGACTCCTAACAGAATAGTCTGGGGGTTGATCTGACTTTAGATGCAGGTAGATCCAGGGACTGATACTCAATTTATGGGTTTCATTTCTCCATCTATCCCATCAATTTCCTCTTCTCTCCTTCTCCTCCTTTTATTCCTCTCTTCCTGTTCCTGTCTCCTCTTTGTCCTTCTCTCTCTCTGGCATCCTTCTCCATGAGGTCAGTATCATGATTGGCTGGCTGCCCAATACCCAGAACTCACATCCTACCAGCCTCTTATCAAAAGTAGAAAGAGGAACTTCCTGAGAACTTGGTGAGCAATGTTCCAGAGAGAACCCTGAGTTGGCCTGGGCCCCATGTTCGTCACTCCACCAGGGAACAGGGGACTCTGATTGGTACACCTGGCTCACATCCTAAGCAACAATATCCATGAGTCATGAGCTCAATACACTAGTTATATTTTTAATAAAATTCTTAATTCAGAACTGTTTAAGGTTTACAGGAAAAACAAAAAGATAGTGCTGAGAGTTGCCATGTATCATACACCCAGTTTCCGCTCTTACTAACATGTTACATTGTTGTTGTTGTGAAATGCCATCGAGTCGGTTCCAACTCATAGACACCATGTGTAGGGTGCCCAAGGAGCAGCTGGTGAGTTTGAACCACCAACTTTGTGGCTCTCAGTCCAGTGCTTATACTGGAGTTGTTGTTGTCAAGTGCCATTGAGTCAATTCCAACTCATCAAGACCCTGTGTAGGGTTTCCGAGGTTTTAAATCTTCACAGGAACAGAAAGTCTCATCTTTCTCCTTTGGAGGGCATGGCAGGCTTGAACTACAAATTTTGTGGTTCACAGTCCAGTGTTTATTGTAGGGAGACACCATGCTATTTATTAACAATAATTATGAATTATGTTTATCATGATGTTCAAAATTACTATTACCTACTTCTAAATTTTGCTATCACCCTTCACAGAAGTTCAATGCCCCTTAAGCAGTAAGTTTCCCTTTCCCTGCTCTCCCATCTGTCCCTGGTAATAATTAGTAAATGTTGGACGCTATACATTGGCCTCTCTTAGGTATTTTATATAAGTGGAATCGTACAATATTTGTCCTTTACCGACTCTTTGGATTTACTTAACACAGAATTTATCTATGTTGCTATGTTGTGGAATTCATCAGGACATCCTTGCAGATTCATTATTGGAACAAACCTACAGACAGTTTAACCTGACCCCAATTTGATCTTAATGGAAATGTTGGACATGCTCAGTCATGTTGTGTTTATTTGCCTCTTAATGCCCTTAATGGTGTCTGAAACTTTTCTAGAATCACCAACTCTGAATAAACACCAGGCACCTCATGTGGAAGGGAAATGCCCACCATGACCACCAGAGGACCAAAACCAGTTGTTGCAAGATGGAGAAGCAGAGGAGTTGTTTCCAGAGCAAGGCACTCAGTAGTATGGTGTGTTTGTTATAATTGTTGTTGCTGTTGGTTGTCATTGAGTCATTTCGGACTCACAGCCACCTTATGCACAACATAATGAAACACTGCTCAGTCCTGCAGCATCCTTACAACCATTGCTACGTTTGAGCCCATTGTTGGAGGCACTGTGTCGATGCATCTCGTTGAGGATCTTCCTCTTTTTCACCGACCCTCTGCTTTACCAAGCATGGTGTTGTTCTCCAGAGACTGTTCCCTCCTGATACCATGCTCAAAGTACCTGAGATGAAGTATCACCATCCTTACCTTCTAAGGAGCATTCTAGCTGTACTTCTTCCAAAACAGATTTGTTCATTCTTTGGAAGTCCATGTTGTTGTTGTTGTCAGGTGCCATCGAGGCGGAACCGACTCATAGCGACCCCATGCACAGCAGAACGAAATAATGTCCGATCCTGGGCCAACCTCACTACCGTTGCCACACTTGAGTCCATCAATGATGCCACCTGGCTGATCCATCTTGTTGGGGGTCTTCCTCTTTTTCTCTGACCCTCCACCTTACCCAGCATGACATTCTTCTCCAACGACTATGGAAGTCCATAGTATATTCCATATTCTTCACCAATACCATAATTTAAAGGCATCGATTCTTCTTCAGCCTTCTTTATTCATTGTTAAATATCATATGGTAATTATGATAACTAACAAAGCAATATTGATATATTATTATTAACTTATGTCCATACTTTTTTCAGAGGACTTCTGGTGTCATGCTGTAGGATCAGCACAGGACTTGTGAACCACAATGTCAGCAGTTCAAACCCACCAGATGCTCCTTGGAAACCATATTCAGGGTTGCTATTAGTCAGAACTGACTTGATGGCACTTAACAACAACATAGTTTATTCAGAGTTTCTCATTTTTTACTTAATGTCCTTTTTCTGTTCCAGAACCCCATCTAAGACATTGCATGACATTTAGCTATCACTTCTCAGGCTCCTCTTGGCTATGGTGGTTTCTCAGACTTCCTTTGTTTTTGATACCTTAATGGTTTTGCACTGATCAGGGATTTTATAGGATCCTCTCAGTTGAGATTTGTCTGATGTTTTTGTCATGAGTAGACTGGAGTTATGGGTTTTGAGGAGGAAGACCAGAGAGGTGAGGTATGTTTCTCATCACATCACACCAAGGATAAATACTTGATGTTAATAAACACATTACTTTTGAGGTTGGCCTTTGACCATCTGACTGAAGTAGGGCTTTGAAGATTTCTCCACTACCTCCTTGGCTTACTGCACTCTTTGGGAGAAAGTCTTCTGCCCAGCACACATGTAAGGAGTGGGAAGTTATGTTCCACCTCTATCAGGGTAGAGGATCTATTCAAATGATATGGAATTTCTTCTGCATGGGAGATTTCTCTCTTGTGCCCCTTCCTTGTGTTTATTTTATATCAGCATGGACCCATGGGTATTCATTTATACTTTGGCTTTAATCTATTTTGCTTATTTTATTGCCAAAATGGTTTCTGCTTTAGCCAGTAGGAGTTCTTTTAGTTGGTTCCTGCATCCCTTTGACATTCTCATCAATCTGAATATTTGATTTGTTTTTGAGCATTGGACTTTCATTTAAGTCCGTCCCTACTTCCTGGTACTACAAGATGTTTCAGATTCATCTTGTATATTTCCTTCTTCAATCGTAGAACCAGCCATTTCTCCAAGGATCCCTGATTCTTTGTACTAGAAATCGGTATTTACAAACTGAGACCTGGATGCTGTCCGTGTGCATTGCTGCTGAGGTATTTGATTCTGGCCCACTCTGTTGACAGAATGAAGAAATGTATGTGCATAAGGATATCATGTTTGGTAAGGTGGAGGGTCAGAGAAAAAGAGGAAGACCCCTAACAAGATGGATTGGCAAAATGACAGCATCAATGGGCTCAAGCAAGGCAAGAATTGTAAGGTTGACCCAGGACTGGGCAGAGTTTCATTCTGTTGTGCATAGGGTTGCTATGAGTCTGTACTGACTTGATGGCACCTAATAACAACAACATCATAATCCATCTATATACAGGTGATTAATTGAATTGTGTCCCTCAAAATAGGCATTAAGTTGTCTAGATCATGACTCTCAGTGGTGTGACAGTCATGTAATGATGTTATGTGGCAGTTATGTCATGATTCCCTATGATGGGATCAACCAGTAAGAGATTAAGGGTGAACTGCAATACCCTAAATCCCAGCACAACCTTAATCCAATATAAAGGGGTTTCTCAGGGTTGTGATGACAGAACGGATTTTGTGGTCAACATCCCCTATATGGGAGGTAAATGAGAGGCACAGCTTGACACATGAATCAAAGGCTATGAGGAAGAAGACAGTCAGGGAATGGTGTGGTGCTGTAGGATAAGCACTCAACAACAAGGTCAGTTTGAACAACAAGGTGGTTCAAACTCACCAGTCATTCCTTAGAAACCCTATGTGGGGTTGTTTTGAATTCAAATCAACTCAAGAACGCTTAACAATAATGCTGGAAGGGGCAGTGGTGGTTCAGTAGTAGGTTTTTACTCTCCATATGGGAGACTCATATTCAATTCCTGGCCCATGTACCTCGCCCAGCCACGACCCATCTGTAAGTGGAGGCTTGCATGTTGCTACAATGCTGGAAGCAGAGCTTCCAGAGTAAGCTGGATGTGGAAGAGAGCTCTAGTCACCAACTTCTGAAAATCAAGAAATAAAATTCAATGGATTGGAGACTTCCGGTGCTTCCTGGACCAGGCAACTCAGGTAGGGCAGGCTCCGGGGAAAAGGGGCAGAATCGCATATAGGAAACCTCTGTCTAGCAGACAGAAAGCCTTTGAGCAAATGTAAGATCTTACATTTAAACATTCTGAACTCGTTTTTTTTGAAATATCAAATTGCTGAGGAATTACAGGCATTTTGAGCTTTTGCCTGCCTGCACGTGGATTCCACTCCCCGCTCCCGCACTGGCAAGTGCCTCTGCCCCCTGCGAACCTTGGAGTGCAGGGCTAGACCAACCCTATTTAGAAGGCTGCATTTCCAGAGAAAAGGAAGCATAAACTGGCAAAGCCGAACAAATAGAGAGGGATATCAGCGTGGATATCAGGAAATTCGGGGTACCCACGATACAGAGAGACTGAGAGAGGCAATTTTTACGTCATCAGATACACGCCCACTGAGACCAAGGCCTGCCCCGTGGCCCAACCCACCCACAGACTGGTCACAAAGGCCCAGGCCCAACCAAGACCAAAATCGCCTACCTGCCAAGAGGCCCAGGCGGCCCACAGCCCGGTCACTGCCGAGGTCCAGGGTCCTCAAGGCCCAACCCGCCATGTAGCCCGGTCGCCGAGGTCCAGGGCCCCTGAGGCCCAACCCACCCGCATAGCCCGGTTGCTGAGGACCAGTACCCCTGAGACCCAACCCACCCTCAGCCCGGTCCCCAAGGCACAGGGCCCCCGAGGCCAAATCTGCACAACCCGCCCACCGAGGCTTAAGCCGCCCAATGCCCAGCTGCTGATACCCAGGCCCCCTGAGGCCCAAACTGCCCGCCCGAGGCCCAAACCACCCGCCCGAGACCCAACCCTCCTGCAGCCCGGTCACTGACGCCCAGGCCCCCAGAGACCCAAACCGCCCGCCCTAGGCTCAACCTACCCGCCAGAGGTCCAAACGGCCTGCCGCTGAGGCCCAAAAAAGTTACTCTGAGTTAAGCAATAAGAAGAGGGAAAAGGGAAGAACACATCCTGATCACATCTTCCTGGAGGTAATCTGAAAATATAAAAAATTACCAGAATACATAATTAATTATTAGGGCCACAGATAAACATTAAACATGTCCAAGAAGCAAAAGCAGATGACCATATCGGCAAATGTCCAGAAAAAAGATAAAATATCTGAGACAAATGAACCAAAAGTAGACCTTCTCTCCATGCTGGAAGGAGGACAGGCCTTGGAGATACCTGAGAAAGAATTCAGAAAAATGATTATAAAATGCCTCAAAACACTTTACAATGGAGTTGAAAACAATAAGGAAGAAATCAGAAAAGTGCTACAGGAGCAACCAAACAAGATAGATACAGCATTGGTAACAACCCAAAACCTATAGAAAGAGGTCCAAACAATCAACAACAAAATGGC